TGTGTGTGTATATATACACACATCCATACACACCAGGGCAAATTAGTTTGAAAGGACAGAACTGGATGTTGGTCATGGGTCATTGCTCATCTGGCTGAAAGGGAATCAGGTTACAAGTTAAAGCTTCTATGAGGAACAGAAGAGCAGTGATGTTCAGGTTAAAAAAATGCCATTTTAATGGTTTCATGTTCACTGTTGGTGGGATTGTAGGCTGGTACAACCATTATAGAAAACAGTATGGAATTTTCTCAGAAAACTAAAAATGGACCTGCCTTTTGACACAGCAATTCCACTGTTAGGAGTATATCCTAAGAACCCTGAAACACCAATCCAGAAGAACCTATGCACCCCAATGTTCATAGCAGCACAATTTACAATAGCCAAGAACTGGAAGCAACCTAGGTGCCTGTCAGTAAATGAATGGATCAAAAAATTGTGGTACATATACACAATGGAATTCTATGCAGCAGAAAGAAAGAAGGAGCTCCTACCCTTTGCAACAGCATGGATAGAACTGGAAAGCATTATGCTGAGTGAAATAAGCCAGGTGTTGAAAGACAAATACCATATGATCTCACCTTTAACAGGAAGCTAAACAACAAAACAAACAAGCAAGCAAAATAAAGACACTGAAATAGAGAACAGGGGGACAGTGACCAGAGGGGAGGGAGAGGGAATTTAAGGGGAAAAAGGGGAAGGGTTTAGAGGAACAAGTATAAAGGATACCTGGATAATAACTAAGGGGAGTGGAAATGGGGGGGGAGGTGGGGAGCACAGGGCAGGGTAGGCTGGGTTGGGACAAATAGAAAACTGTAGTCAAAAAATAATTAAATTAAAAAAAAAGAAAGGCTCTGTTTTTATTAATTATAAGGTCAGAGTCTTAGTTTTCTGGACCCAGAAGGCTGAGCAAGCCACTGGGAAGCAAGGGCTGCCCAATGGCAGAGGTGAGTGCAGCCTGGCACAGTGCATCACTCTGCAGATGTCTACGCAAAATATGCCACGTCTCGGGTCTGCTGTCCAAGTCGTGTTCTCCCTGAGGCGTGACCTGGAAATGGTTCTCAGGTTGGGCTGCCTAATGACAGAGGAGATGTGGTCAGTACTGACCTAAATTGTTCCAACAGTTTTAAACATCTAGGTGATGATTGGGGGGAAGGATGACAGGAGCAGAGAGAAGAAGCACTAGTTTTTAGTTGGAAGTTGTTAGGAAAACTACTGGATAACATGCATTAGGTAATCAAGAAGCGAGAACTGCTTTGCAATTTTCAAATGGGAGGCACCAGCAAGAAGATAAAAATTCCTCAGTTTACACCAGGAGTTAAAAGAAAATCATTGCCTACTTATTGGTTCCTTTTATAAATTGAGATCAATGAAATTCTCTGAACATCAGCATGAAATCAATTGTAAAACAGCATATAATTCACGGTCAGTATTGTAAATTATAGTTTGCCTGACAATAATAGGTGAGGTTTCCATGCACTGGGGGGTGGGGGAGGGCATTTCCACGCAGTGCCCAGCGATCCATTCCTGCTGCCTATTGGACTGATCTGTTTTTGTCCTCATTCAAAATTCTCTGTTTGATCTGATGCAAATGTTGCAATCAAGCAAATGAACAACAGGACAGTGTTGCTGGCGGCTCTGACACACCATGGCCTGGTGTTTTCTGGGTTCCCCCACCCTCCATGGACTCCACTTGGGTTTGCATATACGCCTGCAATTGCTGGGATCCACTGATCCATGACATTGCCCTTGAGGGGCCTGGTCACATCTGTGGAGACATAACACCCAATTGGCTGCAGTTAGGGTGGGAGGGGCGGAGTTAGTCTTCTGTTCCTCTTGGTTTTAAATTTGAAACTGCTGTTTGTTTAGGGTTTCAACCCTAAACAACCCCTTAGTCCTGCTTCCCCTGGGACCTTCTTTCTCATTTTTTCAAATTCTTGGGGGAAAAAATCTGCCATTTTGATTATTCTTTTTCACAAAGCCACCTCCCCGCCCCACCTGACTTGGCCTCCTCTTGTTTCATTTTCTTTCCTCTTTTTCTCACCACCTCCGTCCCTTTTCCCGAGGATTTCCACATCCAGCCACCTGGGCGGCCCCTCTAACGTGTGTCATGCTGTATTCTGTTCCCTTCTTTTCTTCATGCCTCATTATTCACAGGACACCAGTGACACTTCATTTTCTTATGGAAATACATTAAGAATAACCACTTCGGGGTGGACAGTGCAGGCATAAAAATGACTTGGAAGTCAAAAAAGCTATTTAATCAGACTGGCTTTCTTTGTCCTATTGAGTTTATAGTTCTCAAGAACCCCAAGAGAATCCTCAATTCCCATTGTAGCAAATGCATTGGATTTCCCAAACCAGATAGAGTGATTATTTTGTGATTTAATTTATCTTAAAAAACAAACAAACAAACAATTGGAAGTCAGTTTTAATTGCACACAGGTTTGACAGTCTTGGCTGCATGGTTATCATAAACATGAGTCAGGTGCAAGGTGAGCATGAAGCATTTACAAATCTCAGTCAATACGAGATCTACCTATACCTTTACATCTATGAATATCTGTGTCTTTCTTTCTGTAACTTGGATGAATGTCTGATATCACTCCCCAAAATCACTCTTGGGAATCTCTCTGCCCCGCAAAAGTGTGAAAGCTTCCAGGGCCTTACATGGCTTCTTGGCATTGGGCATGTGGCCGTCCATCCAGGGCACTGCCTCCTCTGTGCACAGGGAGCCCTCCTGAGGTCACCCCCTCAGATGCAGCAGGGCTCCTGGTGGCTCCCAGATCACACTCTGGAAATTGAAATCACCACGGTGTTTTCTGGTACCCTGTCTGGCTGCACGTCCACTGCACACTCCAAAGTCATCTTTGGCTGGGTTCTGTCCCCTGCCTGGAACTTTACCTTGCAAACAGGCATTGGGGTCCCACTTCCCCAAATCGTAGGCATTTCTGTCCCCTTCTTTCTTTAGAGGAGAATTTAAGAGAGGGAAGGATATGGGGTCAGGGGCAGAGAAGAGCAGGAAAAAACCATATCAATCTGGTTCTCTGTGGCACAGATACCAAATACGATAGGAGTTCGGAGGGAGCTAGACCTGAGGGCTTCCACTGGAGATGCCACTCCATTCCTCCAGAGAACTGGCTAAACCAGGAGACAAAAAATAATAAAAGGTCAGTACAATGAAGGAAGAAACAAAGAGACAAGATAGTAACTGTTGAGAAGCGCCCAGGGTCCAGTTCAAATGAGAAAACCGAAAAGTATAAGTAGACTCTTCAGCCTGTGCAGCAACGTCTCCCAGACCCAGCTGACAGGGAGGAGGAGTCTTAGAGAAATAAGTTGATGAGGTTGATCCAGAGCTTGGGATTGAGGCAGCTGATGGAGAAGGGCGTTGCAGAGATGAAGAACTTCAGAGGCCTGGAGATTGTGCCTTTGGAACGAGTGATCAGGGATCACAGTGAGGAACAGCAAGTGGTGTGAACGCTCTGGAAAGAACAGCCTGGAAACGCATGGTAGCAAAGAGAGGTGGCACAAATGGGACAAATGGGTGCAGTGGGAGGTCACAGGGCCGTGGTTGGAGAGATTTTAAATTGAGAATCTTGGAAACAGTTCCAGGGATGACCAAGCAGTGGGTGTAAGTAACTAGGCTGGATGTGGAAAACACGTAGTCCAGATGAAGGACGTTACATTTGAGGGAGTGAAAGTGAGGCCAGATTTGGGGATGAGTCATTACTGAGGACCTTGGAGTTGCCCAAGATGGGGAGTGTGGTTGAAGAGGAACCCGAGCCAGTGCGGACGTCACTGGAAAGGCGAAGCATGACGTAGGAGCTGTTAGCAGGTGCCTGTGAGGCTTGCACTGGGCTTTTTTCAGTGATGAATTTGTGTTGGGAACCTCTTCTCTATCTGTGATACATACGTCTGTTTTAGAAAATTTGAAACTATGCATCATAAAATATTTGAATCATCCCTGTGCCGTCACTCTGAGAAGCCACTGTTGACATTTTGGTGTACCTCCATCCCTTGTGGGTTTTGTTGTTGTTGTTGTTGTTGTTTTTTAAATGAAGCACTGCTGTTTGAGAATTATGTCTAAGTATTCATACAAGTATAAAAAAGCATGGCCGTTGTTAAAGTTGACAGAACTTTGGGCAGATTCGTTCAGCAAAATTACTGAGTACCTTGGCAAAGAAACTCTTGAGCACTGCATTAGTAAGCTGCAGATTTTTCTAACGCTTGTATTTAAAACTGACAATGTACCAGGCCCTGTGCTAGGCACTGAGGATGCAGAACGAGTCTAGCACCGTTCCTGCCCTAACGGAGTTCACTCTGACGGACCGAATATGTAGTCGTGTGAACAGATCATTATGTGGGTGTTGAGAGCATTATGCTGATTGTGTGTGTCAACACCAGGGGAGAGAGAGGAGCGGGTTGGAGCTCCATCTTGTGCCAGAGGTCACGACAGAGTGTGTTAGGGACACACACTCTGGAACCACACATCTTAAGAAAGAAACAGGCATTTGCCCTGAGCCTGGACTGCTTGAAGGTCAAATAATAGCTGGTCAGGTGCAGAGGGAAGAAGGAAATTCAGCAAAAGAAATTACGAGCTCAAAGGTATTGTTACAAGCTATGTATTTGAATTGCAAAAGCAACTCCTGTTGTCTTCAAATGTGCCTTAAAAATAATTTGAACGTCTCCTTTATTTTTTAACAGAGCCACGGAGCTAACTCTAAACTCAGAAACTGATTTACCTGGTCAGGGACATTCAAGAAAAACAGTCAAATTGTTAAAATGAAAAAGTTAACCGAGTAGTTTGACTGACAGTTGTCTATTTAAAAATACCGGTAGTGTATGTAAGGGATGAAATAGACTGTGGTTATTGATTTTGATGGCTATTGATTCTTATTTCCAGCTTTGCTTTAACAGTTCTAAGTGGGAACACAGAGGAGGAGTGAAAGCTCTGGGGTAAAATGTATAATTGTAAATAAATTCTTGTTTCCCGTGTGCCCTAGATTTAGCAGTATTTACGCCGCACCAGTTCCTACTGAGCGCGTGCACATGTGTGGGATGTACAAACAGCTCTCTGGTCACACTGCACACAGCACAGCTGCCACCAGAGCACGTGGGTCCCCCAACTCTGACGGTCCTGGATCCTAGAACTGTGCACGTACAGTAAGTAGAAATATTGTTTCTGTCACACAGAGGTTCACACAAGAATCTCAGGGAGTTCAATCAAGGGAAAGGTTTGTGACACAGAATTAATTTTATTGTGATTAAATGCATGGGAGTGATTAGTTCAGTGGTTCTGGGAGCCTTTGATTATCACTCGCCAACTTAATTTCCATTCTGTCTCTGTGCAATCAGGCTAAGCTACATTTGCACACAGCTTCTGTGCAAACTCCAGTAAAGGGGCAACTGACCACTTTCATGTCTGCCTCGGCTTTTTAGGGGCGAGGTGTTACTTGTAACAATGTGGAATTACAGGGTACACATATGCATTTTCTTTTTGAGGATGAACTAGGACCTTCTTGTTCCTTTTCCTTTAAGGTCACAAAGGAACTTTCACATAGAGGCATGATCCGATTATTTTTGACATTAGCAATTTTTATCTGTTCTCTAATGCAAGAGGTACTGGGTATATTGCAGTATTGATAAAAACTCTTTTATCACCAGTTAATACTTGTTTGTATTCATCTCTCCTGGCCCCAGTTTTCTCATCTGTGAAAGAAGAGTTTGGACTAAATATTTATTCAAGCAGGAAAAAACATTAGTCATATCCCATTGTTCCAAATCTAAACTCTCCCATTGGCTTTCCTTTTCTCCCTAAGCCAAGCCCACATTTATGACCCCAAAAGATATCCTAGCTAGAATTCGAAGTATTTCTCCATTTACCCATTTCTGTCTATTCCATAACTTGCCCATTCATTCCCACCAACACACTGTAACCCTCAGGCGGAGTACGCCCCACCTTTCCTACCAACCGGACCCATCTGTCAAGACACACAGTCATGTGTCTTAGTCCTGCATCTCCTCATTCGAGAAGTCTTACTTCCCTCCTGCAGTTCTCCATCCCCACAACTTCTCTGCACTCTGTAGCTGCATGCTGACGGTTAGGTCTCCTTTTCTTTGAAGACAATTACATTATTCTCTCCCCCTCTAATTTCTCAGGAGCGCTCAGCTGTTTGACTTTTCCCAGTTATTGTTCTATGGCTTAAGTTCAAAATCACAATCACATCTTTTTGTATGATTAGCTAATAAAAGTTGTAAGTAACTAGAAAACAGGCACTGTCTTATTTTCCTTAAACCATTCAGAAGAGACATTTCATGACTACTCAAGTTTCTTTTTCTTCTTTTTTTTTTTTTTAAAGGAAAGCCCTTTTGGGCTTTCAGTGTGTAGTTTTACTGTGGCATAAATTCAAGTTCCTATGTGTCCTATAAACATTGGGCACATTTCAGACTTGACTTGAATGAGAGATGATGATAATGCTGTATTTTTCCATTCCTAGGTGGAAACAACCAAGAAAAGTAAATGGAATTCTGGAACGCTATGTATTATATATTTCAAATTATGTGCATGATTTTACGATTTGGGATGTCATCTATAACAGCACAGAGCTTTTCGAGGATCACAGACTACAACACCTTTTGCCTGGCACTAAATATCTCATCAAGTTGGGGGTAAGTTCACTCTCCCTGTATCACTTTCCCTGACCCTTGCTGCTTCTCTTTGTCCCATCTTCTCTCCCTCCCTCACAAAAACAAACGGACAAAAAACTCATGTATTGCTGTTCACACTGAAAACATACTTCGCATCCTAAATGTGAATGGTGCTGATCTAATACCTACATTAGTTTATATTATGCAAAAATTATAGCATAACAATCTGAGTAGTAGGTTTTCCAAAATCTAATTCAGAGTTATCAGAAATTATTTCTTTTTTGTTTTATTATTTGTTGCATGTCATGATTGTTGAGGGCTTTTTCTAAAATGCTTGGATTAGTAAGGTTATTTCCCCAGGGAGCTTGTATTCATTTGAAAACAATGCACAGTGTAAAAATTTAGGTCTTATTTTTTAAATTAAGGTTTAAGTGACCCCCAGATACTCTCATTCGTTATTGTGTTCTGGTTTACATTACTCTTCTATCTCAAACGAACAATCACTAATAAAACCTTAGAATCAATGTAGTTGAGAGGTTTCTTTGGACACACCATAGCAATTTTTTTCATGCAGAATAGCACTTTTATACAAAGGTCTTTTTAAAGACCTTGATATTACGGTGGAATTTATACGCAGTAGTCCCTTTTGTTTTTTTGATGAAATGTAATCTTTTTTAAGTTTAATAGCACATCTGAAAATAACTGAATATAAACATGAGATTGTCCCTATTTGTTTTAAACACACTCTTCATTTTATAGCAATATCTATATAAGGATATTTGCTTTGATAAATGCCATAGAAAATATTCTGCTCTTGATTATGAATAAATTTACATTTATGTAGACACTGTGTATGCATTCATTTTACTTAACATGCTCTTGAATGCTCTAAATATTATACCACGAGCAAATAAACTACATTCAACTATTGCTAAGTGTCTGACCTGACACCATAAAACAAGGGCAACCAGACAATGTTAAAAGTCCTGTTCAGAGCCTGGTCCCTGTGCCTAGGTGTTTGGCACACAGATGTATTTATGAACAGCAGCTTGGATCACTCTATTACCCAAGATGTAAAAAATATATTAACTTGATTTTCAAAGGCTAGTACACAAATCCACACTATTTTCAAAACAGTTGTAATGTTAAAATCTGGAAAGTTCTCTGTTTCTTAGAAGCAACCACAATTAAACAGAAATTGTCCTGCCCTTGGTTGTTATTAGGGAGTGGCAAAGGTCAAGAACAGGCCTACTCTCAAGGCCAATTTTAGGATATGCTATGCAATCAGTGAAAGCAACCCCCTTGCCCTGACTGGTGTGACTTAGTTGGTTGGGTGTCATCCCACAGAGTAAAAAGTAGCCGGTTCAATTTCTGGTCACTGCACATGCCTGGGTTGTGGGCCCAGTCCCCATTGGGGCATGTGTGAGACGCGACCAATTGATGTCTCTCTTGCACATCAATATTTCTCCTCCCCCCTTCCCCCCTGTAAAATTAAATAGATAAAATCTAAAAGAAGCCCTTAATCATTTATGTTTTATAATCTATAATACCTTGAAAAATAAACACCACTAGATTATGATTCCACTCTCCTGAGTTTCAATTCAGATTTTGCCACTAACTATGTGGACTAAGGCAAATTTACTTAACTGCACCGAGTTTTATGTTTTCCAAGCCCTAAAATTCTGTGATGCTAAAAAAGGTGACCCTGAACAGTAGTCTATGGAGTCAAACAGGATCCATCCGCCAGTGAGTGATGTTGGTGCAAGATGTCGCAGTCTTGCCCTAACTTTTGTTAATAAATTTGCTCATGTTTTTTGTTATTTTTTATTTGACTGTATTTATCAGGGCAGAAAATACACTAATATATGTTTGGGAAATATTTAACAAAAAGGTTTTTTTTTTTACTCAACTTTGTTAACCAGTTAATTAAATGAACCAGAATGTTTTAGGTTCATCTTAATTAATTGAGGGATTATTGCATATTGCACAGTTTAAACATAATAACTGGCTTTCAAGGTCATTAGATTAGTAGATGGAGATAAGTTCTCAGCTAAGTGGAGTTGACTTTATAGAGCCTTAGCGTGTTGATGAAGTGTCAGAAAACAAAACATGCAGACCAGAGCTTTTGAGCAGACATTAGAATAGTGGCAAATACAGGGGAATTGGAACCACTGTGATTTCCTCCAGACTGAAAGCAAACCTGTTACTTCATGTGTCTTCGTTTAACTGCCCATGTTGACTGGATTATCAACTCTCAGAGAGTAGAGGCCATGTCTTTCAAACTTCTGGCTGCAGAGTCGAGTTCCGTGCATGGTGGGAACTGGACACTCAGCAAACAATTCTTGGATGACTGGACCCCAAGTATATTTATTTCATTAAGAATCTGAGACTTCTGATATAAATGAATTGACTTGCTGTAAAATGTAGGAGTTGGAGGTTATATGATTCCAAACTTACACTATTTCCACTAGAAGAAACAGGATGACATGTTCTTACAGTCAACAGATGGTGCCGTGAGGTGTGGTAGTCCCGATAGCAATAATATCAGCAATTAAATAAAGAAGATAGTAAGACAAGTATCAGGATAAGTGTGGTCTGATAATTTTCATATTTCTTCTAGACATTTGCCTCTTAATGAACATTGTGTTAAGTGTATTTCCTGAAAGGATTCTTGGAAATGATAAGCTTCACTTTTCAAAAGGTCATTTGTAGATAATCTGGCCTTGGTCTCTTTCAGCACACTTTAAAACATTCTTAACATCCTCAGACCCAACTTATGTGAAAACACATGTTTGCAAAGAGAATGCTAGTTTTTGATGTTCCTAACAGTAATGTTTTAAAAAATAATATATGTTATTAGTTATGCATTTCATTAGACCAAAACTGAATTCCCTATTTGGTCAGAAGCTTCTCATCAATTCAGGGTAGTATTTTGACTTTGCATTTTTTTTTAATGGTCGTCATTGATGAAAGCTATGGAGATGGGTTGAGACACATTATTTTGATAGCTCAGAGTCTAAAACACTTTGCTGTTTCATAAAGCCACCTCTATCCATTCCCACTATTTTCTTTAGATTTTTCCAAGCCAGAATTTTAATAAGCATTCAGTGGCATTGAATGCAGTGGCCCCTGGTGTTGGCAGGTCAAACAAGATACTGATTGGTTCAATTTCATGTAGATGATATCAGTTAGACTAGATCAATGGGGAAGCAACCTTAAGGGCCTGTATTCCTTGCCGATGGACCGCACTCTATATCTCCAAATACATGCCAAAAAATGTGGAACAATATTTTACAGGTAATTCTGTTATTTCAGCAGCCCTTATATACATTTTGTTTTATTTACAGGGCAAATTCTCTCATGAACTGTTCAGATTCGTAAGACGTTCTTTGTCATGTTACTCATTTATGGATCTTTCATGACAACCCAAACAAGCAGTCCTTCCAAACCAGGGGATGTCTTTGTTTATCCCAGAGAACATCATAAAATTATCAAAACAAAGTAAATTTTGATCCACATTCTGGTTTTTTTATATTTAATTTTGTGTCACAAAGTTTACTATTTCTTTGGGCAGAGTTAGCAGGGAAAAGTCTTAAGTATTAATGAAAAAATATGGTGACAGACTATTAGAATTAAATCCCATTGCATTAAGGGTTTACCAATAAGATGCTGCAACATTTTTTCCCTCCCAAGGGAAAAAAAATCTAGGAAATGCAAAAGATGGGTTTATCTTCCTCTAAGGACTGGAAGGAAGGCCCTTTTGACTGCTTTCTGATGATAACACAGCTGTCCCTCATGGCCTCTGTTTCTGCCACATTTTCTGGTGGACTTTTAGCATGTCGGAGATGATTTGATTTTTCCATTTTAATGTTCAGATAGTTGTTCTTGGGCTCATGGCAACGTGGCCTCAGGCTTCGAGTTGGGGTTTCACCACAAGCTCCATTGATTCTTCCTTATTTGCAGAGGCTCGTCCTCAGGAGGAGCGTGGCGTCTGTCTGGCATGTGTATGCATGTACCGCAGCTGAGAATTAGAGGGAACCCATAGAGGTTAATGCGGTCCTGATCATAATGCAGTTTCATGCCCAGGCCCCAGTCTAACCCATCTGAACCTTGCGTGTGCTGATGAGAACTTATCCTGCAAGCATGAGCTAAACAGCCCATGAGACTGAGCTCCATGTCCGTGGACCGTGTGTTTGTTATTTAGACCTGTAATGAATTATTTGCAATAATTTTGCAATATTATACTTCAGTGTAAAAGATCATTAAAAATCCGTCAGCTTTCTCCCATCTTTAGGGGAAAGAATATTGGCTGTTTTAAGTATCAAAAGGCCCTTTCTCATTATCAAACTGAAAAGCAAGGACAGGCCCAGAGACATGAAGAGGTATTTTAATCATTTATATTAGTGATATCTACCTTCTGTGGAAATGAACTGAGTAACTTGTCTGCTTTTTGCATTATTTTATGAATTTGCTTTTTCTTATTAATTGGTAAAAAAAAAAGTAGTGTTTTTTTTAAAGATTTTTAAATTCCATTGTGCAAATTACAGTTGTAACCTAGAGAGATGCTTGAACAAAGCTTGAGTATACTTTTCAAATATCTGCGTTATTTATATAAGGACATAATTGCTACTATTTGCTAGCAAATTTAGTCTAGAAATAGCCTCTGTGCCTCTCTCAGTTTCCTGGAGATATGCTTATCCAGCAATTCAGGGAGTGCAGATATTTTCCTAACACATTTAAATGTTCACTTGAGGATTTTTTGCAGTTTATTAGGATAGTGTACACCAAAGTTTCCAAATATGTTGAACACCCACATTTCTATTTTTGACATGAGCAATACCTTGGTGGGGAATTGGCATGGGGGGGGGCCATCCGGGGAAGTGATCTGTGATCCCTTGAAGTTTATCAGCGGTTTAATAAGGCCCATTTCCTCCTCCGTAGAAGTCTGACTTGACCTGTTAAGGCATTAAGCAGTCACTCAACGACCTCTTTGCTGTTGATTTATGAGAAATATTGTTGTATTCAATTACACTGCTATATTGGCCACATTATAGTAAAGAAAGGGCAGTTATATTTTCTGTACATATTTTTTTCAGAAATCACTTGTTTTCTCCTGAAGAAGTCTTTGGTCTCTAGGACTTTTTTCATGGGGCATCAAATTCATTCTACAATAGGGACTTTTTTGCAAAGGGAATTTAGTAAGGGCTCTTCACCCAGTCACTCTGCAGGAGTGGACAGTGGTAGGTTCGCATTTGTTCATAAAGTCTCATTAATAAATAATGATAGAGAATAAACCCTGTGTTTTGCACACTCCCACCCATGACCTGCTTTGGCCCACTGCGTGTGCCCTGTCTCTATTTCATACATCCATGCATTCTGGGTTATTTTCTAACTAATTATTGAAGATAGCTGTCTTGTGTCCTTAAAACACACACACACACACACACACACACACACACACACACTAATTAAATGTCAAGCCTCAGTACTGAAACAAATGTATTTTGTGCGGTGGAGGGAGTTTTATTTCAAATAATCTGAAACTCTTCCTATGAATTCTCTCTCTTCAATGTTTATCTAAACTTTTGGGACCCAGAGTGAAATGCGCTCTTCTTCTCCTTCCATCTCTGTTCAGGCTTGCACGGGGGGCGGGTGCACGCTGAGCGGGGCCAGCGAGGCCCAGACTGCGGAGAGCGCGCCCGAGGGCGTGGCCGCCCCCAGCGCACACTCCTATTCACCGGACTCCTTCAACGTCTCCTGGACTGAGCCCCAGTATCCGAATGGTGAGTGAACCCTTTTAGCCTCAAGTTGAAAAAGATGATTAGCAAAGGTAAATTAATATTCCAAGTGGCAGCTTATATGTGGTGCTTAATTTTTAATGATCATTTTAGCACATAAAATACCTGAGATAGGATCCTTGTCTGTAGTTGGGAGACTGGTTTTTAGGCTAACACAATTTTGGTGGCTCAAAGGTGCTCCCTTTTGATAGTTCCTGTGTACTGCATCTTATTGTGTAATACGTTCTGGAGAGGTAAAGAGAGCAAATGGGGGATTCCCTGAGAAGGCCCTTGTGACAATGACATTTGATTTTCAATGACTTCCTGTTTTTGACAGTCACTCACTTTTTCCAGGTGTAGAGAGGTGGAAAGTTCATGAACATATTGTATTTCAAAATGCTTTTGATTTAGTAAGATTATCAAGAGATCACTGGGAACTCTGTATTTTTAATATGTTGTGTATAAGTATTTCAGCATACTGTTTTTAACAATGCATACATTAAATATATATACATTTATATCTGCTTCATTTGAAGGGGATTGTGTGTATTACTAAGTGGTATACATATCATTGCATACATTAGAGAATAAAGTTAGCCACTTCAAGTTTGCTGAAATAACATCTTCATAAAGAATTTTTGTAATAATATGGGGTAGGAATTGCTTTATTCATTGACTGAAAGTATTTTTACACTTTGCACAGTATAGTGTCATTGTTCAAAACCACAGAGGCTTATATAACATCACCTTTTTGGTCCTCTTTAAGACAAATACCAAGAAGACTTTTAATATTATAGAAATGGTCTTAAGTAACTCATTACTGAAAATTGAAATGGCCTCTTTTAGCATAGCTAAAAAGAATAAAAGAAACAAATTGCAGTTTTATTAGTTTTTCTTATGTTTACTATGTTATTAATTATTCCAGTCATCTCATTTTAATTAAACTTTTGGCAAGTGCGGTAGATATATTTGAGGTAGTGGAGGGAGCTTTAATACTTAAAGTGAGTAATTATCTCTGCTATTGAAGTTATTCTTGTACTATTACAACTTTTCTAATAAAAATAAATGGATGTCTATTTGATACTTACATTAAACAGTGAAAAATCTTGCCATGCTTCAAGCCGCACAAAGAAGTCTAGTCCATAGGTGGCAATGCAAATGTTAATAATGATTTCTTTCCATTGGAATGCTGTTCAATGCCACCATGTGATTTTCCGGGTAGAACACTTGCCTTCATCCCGGTTGGTGGTTACAACTGGCTTTACAGCTATGCTTGGAATCCTAGGTTGACTAAAGAAATATTTTCTGCCTGTCAGAAAATCTTTGCACATCACCTTTTGTGCACTTACAAGCAGCCTTAAAATGTTCATTGGACAATAAGAATTTAAGAGATTTTTGGTGATTTGTGTTAACCCTTCCATTATATTCTAAAGTCCAGTACTTCATCTCATCAGAATTTTTATAATGTTTATTGTAGGAAAATGATTAGACATTTAAAAAGTAATCATTTCATTAAGTTACTTTTCTTCTCTTCACTACTTCTCCCTTTAATTTTTCCAAATTCACCAGTGTTTGCTGTCTATTGTTTTTTGTCTGGAAAGGGATAATCTGATTATTGGAAAGCAAGTGTCCCTCGGGCTGTTCTTCCAGCTCCCCCGCCCTCATGCTAGAAGGGAAGAATACAGTCCAAATTGTTTATTCTGGCATTTGGATCTTCCCAGCTTGTGACTCGCATTTACATAGCCTTGAGATCCACTTTCCTTTGTAGCTGCCCTAGAACATTTATAGCTTAATGTAGGGCTCAAAGACATAGGCATGGAGTCAAATCTTATCTCTGGCCTGCAGTAACTGTGCCACTTTGGGAAATTTACTAAATTCCGTGAGCCCCAGTTTCTGTGATTATCAAATTGGAGTTCACAGTTCATACCATCTCTCTGTCTTTACCTGTAGAACTCTGGCTCCTTCTGTCTTCTCACAAAATTCTTGCACTCCTTCAGTCTGAGCAGAGCTGTCTCTCCTCTCTTGACCATTTATTCTGTGTCTGCACCTTCACAGTGGCAGGTACTTCATTCATCCTGGGCTCAGATTTATCTGGGTACTTGTCCAACTTGCCTTAATGATGATAAGCACCACAAATCATTCATTTTTGTTTCCCTTCATGGTGCCTAATGCAGTGTTGTATTTTCCACTGATATTTAACAATATTGAATTTATTTAGTTTTTTCTTGCGAAAATGACATTTGAGCAGTGATATGTATACTGCAGAGTCCTGGCTCCCTAATGATACCAACAGAGAGAACAGAATACATCTTAAACTTGGTAAATCCAAGTTGCCGCCCCCTCATTTCTCTGCCTCTCTGCCTGCCCTTTCTTCCATGTCCCCACTCTGCTCTCACTGAGAAACACCGTCTACTCCCATCAGCCAGTAACCTGGGGGGTGCTTCTGACTTGATCACCCCCAATTTCTCTTGCCACACAACCTCTGCCTCCTCATGAGGACAGTGATGTGCAAAGATTTTCTGCTAAAATCTAAATTTGTTCATTCCCAATGTATTTTTGATGACCTACTGTGTGTCATCATACTGATGGTGATACCAAGTTGAATTTGCCGAATCCATGATTGGAAGGTATTGGAGTTCCTTGGGGGAAATACTTGTGTAATCAAACAATCACAAGGTAGAGATGTCGCAGAACACCAAGTGTGTAGAGAAGAAGCTTCCCAAGGAGACCCATGGAGTGTGGCCATGTCATCCCTTTGGGTCTTCATTAGCACGTAGTAGGTCTGGATACATGCACACATTTAGAAGGTCATGTTCTGTCACAGGGGCTGCTTGGCTGGTTTCGTATACCCCAGACTCCAAAATCTTGACTCTATGAGTCAGTTATAGATCTAAATAGATTTTTTTTCACTAGGACTTTATAAACATGAAAAAAAAACTTGTTGAGAAACAATCAAGTGTTGACCCAGTTGCTAAGAATTTGTATGTGCTTGTGTATCAAGACAGTGGCAATAATGTCAATAAGAACAAAACAATTTTAGGAAGTTGATTATTTTTGCCAACTTAAACCTAGTACCATGAGGACAATAGAATGTTATTAAAAGAATGTTTAGTTTGATTTTTTTGAGCATATACATTATTTCAGGAATGGGTGGTAGAGAAACCAATTCACTCTAGATCTTTTTTATGCACATTCGATATTTGCTATCCTGAAGGATATTAAGGGATAATAAATAGAAGGCAAATAAATTTTTGTAATGTATATAAATGAAGGTGTATGTGTAAATATTAATTAATTACTCCTCCCCATGCAAAGAAAGGATTTATTTCCTGTTACCACAACTAATAATAATAATAGCAATAATAATAGCTACCATGTATAGCTATGTGCCAGGCACGTTAATTCTCATAGCTTGCCCATGAACTAGGTGTTGTCATTTCCACATTCAGGTGTGGAAACTCCAGTTTGTAAGTATTAAGCAATTTAATTATCAAGGCAAGTTACATATGAATATAATACAAAACAAAATGTGAATGACTAAAAACAATTCATGATTTTATTCACTGTACTTCTACCTAAAATTTTTGTAGAAATATCTATACAGTCAGATTCCATCTAGCTATGTGGGAAAAATATTTTTTTGGTCACTTTGATTTGTCTCATATCTTGTTCTCAGTGCTGACAAGATTCCTAAGATCTCTATTCCTATTGTTCTCTGGTTTTAAAGAAATAACTGTTTTTTTTTTAAACTTTTTATTTGGATATGTTTGTTTTTTAAGAAGCCAAAATGTGATTCTCTCTCCTTTCCTGGAAATTCTGTCTTAATAGGAGCCGTGGATTACAGAATTCAGTGAGTCACTTAGGGAAACTGCCTTGACAGTTTTGAGCCAACCTCGGGTAACTTTTATGAAACACCTCCACTTGGTCTGTCAGGTAGAATTTCCCAAGCACAGTCTTTTTCAGATGGCGCTGCTTCCATTTTTAGAAGAGCAGAACGGTAATAAGGCATCACTCCCCCATGCGAAAGCCGTTCTCTCTTTTCCTTTTTAATTGAAGGATCAACTATTCACACAGGGACCTGTCTGCCACACTCCGTCATCATCGGGCCTTGGGGGGAAGCCCTCAGCTGATGCTCACATCGCCATGCTGTCCTGGAAACAGGCAAATATGTGGGGAGCATCGATATTCACTAGGCATGTCATTTTCATGACACACCAAAGCATCATTGTTTAATTCTTATAGTAAACAGAATTCCTCCACTTCAACAGAGGTACCTTGTGTTAAATCGACATTGCGTTGTGCTTGTATTGAGTTTCCTTGGTTATATATGACAAGCTATTGAGCCCCTCAGGAAATGTAATTTGACATAGCATGATGAAGAGGCACAGAATATATACCCCAGTGGACGCGCTCTGTGGACAATTGTGATTCCGCTTCCCTGTGAAAATTAAACACCTTAAAAGTTCTACCATTATGGAAAGAGATAGGTGATGAACATGAAACTGCTTATTCTAGATAGCCAATGGGAATCAAGTATCCATTTTGTGGATTATCCATTGAAGAAACTGAATTTATAGAATGGAATTAAATAACCTGATCGCCCTTAGCACATAACATCATGTTTTATTTTCTTACCATTATCTTACTGATGATTAGCTTAAGAGAATAAGGAAGGGAAAAAGCACAAAAATATAGTAAAGTACAATGTCATTCAGTTTCCGTTTATATGTTGGGTATTTGTCTTTGGCTTCTCTCAATCCACTCTGCACTCTTCCCTGCTCAGCCCTGGGTTCTAGGCTGACCTTCAAGCACGATGTCGATAGGCCTCTTTCTCTGTCTGGTTTGCTGTTGGTTCATCCATGAGCAGTAGCAAGAGAGGAGAGGATGGGAGGTGAATGCAGCCTCAGATCTTCCTCCCTGTGGTTTCCTCTCTGCCTGGCTCTGGGCAACAGGGCTGCATTGCTAACCAAAGGCTCCAGCGCCTGTCCAGTGGGTTTTCTACACCTCAGCTCTTTCTCCAGGGTCCTGCATCCATTCTCTCCCTATCCGTTCCACATGTAAAGATGTTTACTGGCTCCCAGCCAGCTGGTCTCCCAGGAGTCCTAGCTATGACTAGCTGGGGATGCTTTATGATCACTTACTGCTCTCCCTTAACCTTTCCCTTCTCTTCATAAGTGGTCCCTTCACTAAATTGTCCTCTGTTGTCCATTTAAGTTGCCATAAGTTTCCTGCTGAGACTCCACTAGATCCCTAAATCTCATTTAATCCCATTCACCATGTAGAATCCGGGGAGCTGGACAAATGTGAAATGCTTCCCTTTGTTCTAAGAATGTCAAAAGTAAACAAACAAAATTCCCATTTTGTTACACCCTGTTCTGGTGCACTAGACATTTTGAAAGCAAATGCGAGCCATGTTCAGAGGGTCTCAAGGCAGACTGCCCTTGCCCAGTTGTTCTCATTATACAATTCTGTTCTACAGTTGATTTTTCGGCCCTTCCTACAAATGCTGTCAAATATTGCTTATCTAGAGAACGTGCATGTGTGTGCGTGTGTGTGTGTCTGTCTGTCTGTGATCTCACCTGTGCTTAAGTTAGACTTCAGTGTCCTCTGCCTCTCCATTCAACTGTGTCCTAGGTACGAAGAAAAGTCTCAGCAGTGCAATTAACTGTCACCAGTTTCACACAATTTTATGCTCAGCTCCTTGTCATGCACTCATCTTACACTCAGGCCTTGTCTCAGTAACTCTCTGTTAGTTCTTCATCCACGGTTCCAGATGTCATGGTTATCTGGTTTCTCAGCATAGCTCGCTAGGGGTTGACTTGCTAGAGTGAGTCAGGTAAAGACAGAGAAGTAACTTTTGAGAGACTGTCACTGAGGGAGAATGGAGAAGAACTCAAAAAGTAGACCCAAGAAGTGATAAGGTGCAGCCGCTGAGTGATGTGAAGGGTAAGACCTGGGTAAGCGTCCTCTGTCTCCTCAGTCCTGGAGGGTATTTCTGAATTAGAGAACGTAGTCCTTGATGTCTGTAATGCGTGGTCTGAGTCATCGCAAAGCGACTCAGTGATGTTCATTATAGTCTGGGGGTGTGCAGGTGTGCAGCACTTGCTAAAAAGGTTTCCTTAAAAAATGGTTCAGATTTTTAAAGTTTGTACTTAAGGGATGAGATTTAGTCATCATGAAAATGAACTTCTATAAAACATCTCATTTCCCAATATGTCAGATAAATGAGATATTATGCACATAATCCTAGCATAAAAGAAATTTTCTGTTCCCCAATTATGCAAGAAAAGGAAACTATTGATCTGGGTGCTTTCTATTTCAGTGTTGAAAATAGGTCAAGTAGATATTTTGGGTGTCTTACAACTTCTTTAAGAGCTCCTGCCCCACGTTATTTGCACACAGATTGTGTTCATACGTGTGTGTGGGTTCAGTGACTGCTTAGCAGAGTGCCAGGTTGGTAACAATTTCTCATCCTTATTTTAACTGTGATTTTATGTACTTTTTTCCTCTTAAATTTTCAGTGAAATGCTTGGTGTTTTCCTGATGTGGTTTTCATTTCTTAGTTTTAATTCATTTGTGCTTTTTTGTGCCTAGTATTAAGTGGCATCAAATCAGATAGTTTCTGTAAGTGTTCTTAGAATTATCATACATGGCCACACTGAACTAAAGGAGGTGAAATGCAGGCAGCTGCACCCTGTGGAACTATCGGGGTATGTGACAGGAAAAGGAAGCCTCTCCCTCCCAACTCTGGAAGTGAGGGAAATGGACTTGCTTTCTCAATTTACTAGAGTGTTTTGTTTTAAAACCAGCTCTTTGTCCAAAGCCTCTGTCTCTGAGTTATTCTTCAATATCATCTTTTTTAGCAAGTTTCTTTTCAGGCTTCAAGTGTCTTAAGTCTCTCTTTTTCCTATAGCCTTAAATTTTTACTCTGTATAGATGTTTATATTTTACTCTGCTGTGTGTTCATTAATTTATTCATTCAATCAATATTTATTAAGTATCTACTATGTTTTAGGCATGGTGCTAAGGAATGCACAAGTGAGGAAATGTCATGTCAGGCAATTAATGTGAAAAGTGGATAAGTGTTAGGAAGGAGATGTCCTGTGTGTTATGTGATGAGCTCCCGACAGCTGTCCTCAGGGAAAGCTATGTGACAGAGGAACATTTAAGATAATTTCTCAAGAATATACTAGGAGGCCATTGTGACATTAATTTTACTTTGAAAGAGGTTCTAATTTAGCATGTAAGCAAAGTTCTATTTCCCACGGTATAATGAATGTTTTGATTGAATAAGTCAATGATGATATGATTAGCCATTCAGTGTCTTTTATCTCTGCTAGTTGATGTCATGATAATGCATATAACTTTCCTTCTGAAATACACTGTGGTTGATCACTAAAACCAGCCAATCATAGTTTTTCTAGCCCATTCATGAGTATCTCGTAAATGTGTGTACTTTGCTTAAGGCTCCTATGTTTACATAATTCAGTGTTGTGGTTAGGAACATGGTCTAATTGCACGAGGAACCTAAGCTACCAGGTCATAGTCTGTCTATTCTAGAGCCCAATCATCTTGATTCAAATCCTGAGCCCAAGAGTCACCAACTGTGTGACCTTGAACAAGTTACCTAATCTACCTGTGCCTGAGTTTTCTCATCCGTAAAATGGTGATCATAATATGGTCTGTAGCCCTGGCTGGTGTGGCTCAGTTGATTGGGGTACTGGCCCATAGACCAAGAGTATACGGGTTTAATTCTGGTAAGGGCACATACCCGGTTTGCAGGTTTGATCCCCAGTTGGGGCGCATGCCCCAGTTGGGGTGTGTGCAAAAAGGCAACCAATCAGTGTTTCTCACATCAGTGTTTCACTTTCACATAGATGCCTCTCTGTCTCTCTCTGTCTGTCTGTCCACCTGTCTCTCTTCCCCTCTCTCCCCCCTCTCTAAAAGCAATGAAAAATAAAATGTCCCCAGGTGAGGATAAATGTTTTTAAATAATTCTGCCTGTACTGTAGTATTTCTGTGTGCAGAAGGTTAAAAAGCAGTTCATACACACCAGGTGCTTAAAACCATGCCTGCCACCTCCTGAGTAATATACAATGCATTAACAAATAAGGTCATTTGACTTCCAGAGAACATGTATTAAGGATATCATTTTAGAAAGCAATAAAAATTATAAATGTGCTTAATTTATTCATATTTGAATTGGAACACAAATGACAGCAGTTAATGGGATGCGATGGAAAGAGTCCCATCCTGGGACTCTTGGGTTTTATTTCTGTCTCTGCACTAATTAGCTTAACAATTTGATAGTCAAGGGTTTAAAGCTTGTTTTTTTCCTCTGGAAAGAGACTGGGATCTAGACTCAGGGAAATACCACATTCCATGAAATTAGGAGTCGCGTGAGAAGTTCTTGCTTTCTTGAAGTCATTCTTGCCCATTGGCTATCAGTCACACTAAATGCCAATTATTGTCTTCCTAGGCGTTATCACTAGTTATGGGCTATATCTGGATGGCGTATTAATTCACAATTCCTCAGAACTCAGCTGCCACGTCCATGGGTTCACTCCTTGGAGCTTACATTCCTTCCAAGTGCAAGCATGCACGGCCAAAGGCTGCGCGCTGGGCCCACTGGTGAGTTCACATCTGTAGAGCCCGGGAGCAAGTTCAATGGCACAGAAATGGGGATCAAGGAAGGTTTGAGTTCCAGCAGCCACTCTCCACACAGCTAGTCTTTCAGGCTGGATGGGGGATTTTCTCCTTACAAAATTTCACCTAAGACTTAGGAAGAGTTTATATTCAACATAAATTTTGAGACCGCATGTGGTGAAGGACAGAATCAGCAATCTTTCACTGAAATTTATAAACATATTGATAAGTTGGACGGCTTAGCAGGCACGCATACAATTTTGCATAACTCATTACATGTTTAAAGTGCATTTTTTTCTTCCTCATAATGGGTTCTACAACTAATGAAGTTCATGGTGAAAAAGTGAAAATAATTGAAAGCCCACACTGCCACAATAGAGCAACACTGCTCCCCAATAGTTGGGCTAATCGATTAAAATGTTGAGTTCACCTCATCTATTAGAATGAAATATCCTAATTTTATTAGTGTAATATAGCTTCATGAGAACGGTGTTTAAAATTACGTTTATATCAGCTTTTGATAGCCACACTTTAGAAATCTATGATATGTATCTATATTTCATCAGTAGCTGAAAGATTGACAAAAATTATGCTTTTTATTACTAGTCTAATTTTGAAAACACAATTAGCAGTACATAATTTTCATAGACTGGCATGACGTTCTTTAGTTTTAAAACATCACATTTTCATGTTGTGTGTTTTTCTTGATTAATTAGATTTACCTTCTTTTAACAGGAATGCTCATTAGTTTTAGATCCTTTCTGGCAATCTCTCCTAATGCTCTATCATTTTAATGCACTCTGTCTTCATTGAAGAGTGTATTGTATAAATATTACTTTGAAAAAAAACAGCTCTGCCGTTTAATTTGTGCTTCCTTATTTTTCATCACTCCTCCCATTTTGCTTCAGAAATTGGTTGCTTTCCAAGCTGCTATAACATCATCTACCCGGGGAGCTGAGCTGGAGTCTTTATTGCCATTAAGTATTTTATAACCCAGTCCCTCGGATGGTTACTTACTCTTAAAAGCAGGAATGGCAGTAGGCCAGCTTTTCTTCTCCATTCACAGAAGGAAAAGAAACAAAAGAACACTTCGCAAGAGCTTGAAACTTAGGCTTTCTCAGAAATATAACCTGCCAGTTGTGGTCCTGGCTGCGACGCTGGCTGCCACCCTGTCTCCCGTGGTTCACACGACGTTAAACAAGGGGGACGCGGTTATCGACCTGTGTCCTGCGTGGATATAGGCGATGTTAACCTTAAGAAATCAAGTGCCACAGCGCCCTGATGGGACAGGGAAACAGAATTGGATTGTGAAATCCCACCCTGCCGCAGCCCTGTCCATGCCAGACTCAGCCCTGATGGGGAGGGTCTTGTCTTTCCCCCTTGGTTCTTTGCTCAATCCTGCGCTCAGCCTGCAGACGCTTTTCCCAAGTCAGTGATCCATCTCTAATCACTGGAATTGAACAATAACGTCTTTATTGAGAACAACTCCACTTCAATGGCATGCCAGGAAGTTAGAACCCATGGTCTTTAATAGATTTCTAAAATATTTTGTACTGGTTACAGGACTTATTATCCCCTCAAGAAACTGCTTAGGAGTATTCTAAGTAGTGCAGGACATTTGCCACAATCATGCAGGATGTTACAGATCTGGGTTTTTGTTGAGGGTTTTTTTAAAAATGTGTCTCGTTGATTTGAGAAGTCTGTGAATCAGTCTTAAAAGTCAGGCTTTCCTATTATTAACTTACAGTATGATATTCAACAAAATTCAGCCAACAAATGTAGCAACTACATATACATTTCACAGGCATTCTTTTTGTCTGAAACCCAGTGTTGTAACATTTTATTGAAACAAAAATATGTAATTTCTATTTTTAAATCTTTTTCTGGCAGAAATCAAAAGATAAATTCTGTGAGAGTCAAATTTTGAGTTCATCTAACAGCATTTCTTAATGATAACTCTCGATTTTTAGAAAACCTGCATATTTATTTTACATCTGTTATATATTTAATATAATTTTTCATGCATGCAAGGAAATACTACTCAAAGTCTTCTATGACAGACACCTTCTGCAGTCATGAATGTGTTATGGTTCACCCTCAAAATTGACAGGTTGCCAATATATTGAAAGAAAAACAGTTTAAAGAGGACAAATTAGATGAAACACAATATTTTTAACATCAAATACATACATAAATTCTACATTCTTACCATTTTAATGTAATATTAGCTCAATATGTTGTTTTTTTTCTTTAGCCTAAGTTTATTACTTGTTTGTAGTTCAGAAGGAATTGTCTTCTGCCCATTTGAAAAAAAATTGGATTTCTTATCCATTAACACAATGTATTTTGCTTTTAAGAAAATTCCAGTGTAAAAAACAGTTTACAGTGTTTTTGTTCCTAATTTTAAGATGCTAATATGCACTGTCAAATTAAACCTAATGATTGGTACTTTATCAAAGTTTGAAATAATAATTTAAAAAAAACAGGAAATGCAACAGAGAATTTTTTGTATGCTTTCCTTACTTTCAATTATATCCTTGAATGACATTAGATAGAACCCCTTTACATTGTGTGTCTCTATAAAAAAGGGAATTTGTCCACGGGAAGACTGCTTTGCTCCAGTTTGTTTGTTTCCGCTTGACAATCTCAGATGGGGAGTTTTATGACTGTGTTTGGCCTTCGAACGTTCATTGGATTCAGTTCCCCAGGGGCCTCTTAAGGATGAAGTCTGGAACTATAGGTCACCTAGGTGTCAGATGCTTAAGGAGCTGGCGCAGTTTCCTGGTGATGGCCCTGCTTGCAGAGATCCACACCCTGGCACACGTGGGCACACACATTTTCACATTCACTTTTTACAGGAATGCATATTTCAGACATCTAGATTTAAGTTACCATGGGTGTTTTGGACAAGGAAACACTACAGGGGAAATCAGCCCCATTGCTGTCTGCTGCTATTCTCCATGCTTCCTTGGGGAACATATTCTACTAGACTTCAGATTTCTCAGCTGCTCCAGAAGGAAAATAATGTCTGCTTGGAAAGGGTTGCTGGGAAAATTTAAATGAAATAATTTATACAAGGGTATCTGGTACTTGGTAAAAGTTTCATTAAGACTGAAAATTTTATTAAAATGTTGAGGCACTTTAATTGCACCTTTGATATGTGCATTTGTTCCAAATATTTGTGTGTGTGTGTGTGTGTGTGTGTGTGTGTGTGAGAGAGAGAGAGAGAGAGAGAGAGAGATGGGAGATTTCCAAGGGAATGCAGGCCAATCTCCCAGGACGCCTCTTTCTTAACATTTTTTAAGGCAAAATAGATAATCAAAAGTCTTAAAAAAATTAAAAGACTGAGTGAGTCAGTGCAAAATAGGACAATTACCAAATTCGATGTGGAGCAAAACCTGGAGTGTTTATCTAGATACCTAAGAAAATTTTTAAAAATATATCTATGTTGAATTAACCAGATATGTGAGGATAATAATATAATTTTCTGGAATTGCCCTAATACTTCAACTATTTGAATCTCATTTGGAACCCTTAAAAATCATTTTTATGGGGAAAAATAGACAAAAAACTGTACTTGAAAAATAACTAAATAAAATTAATTTAAAAAAATAAAAATAAAAAATAAAAGCCTGTGAAAGCGAAAAAAAATCATTTTTATGGAATAATTTGGACTTTATGCATAGATATAATAATTGTATTTGCATTGTTGTAAAATACTAAAATGATGAATTGATATTTTCCCAAAGTTCTTCATCATTATTTTTGGGACATAGCCATTAGACTACAGGAAAAAAAAGGGGGGGGAGCAGGAGTTACAGATCTCAAGAACCCCGCAGCCTCTCTCAGAGGAAAATAAAACATGATGTGACCTCGTAGTTATTAAATACTAACACTTTGTCTTTTTCACATTTATTTCCATAATTGAGAAAGTGAATGCACCCTAACAAATGAAGGTTTCATAATTGCAAATATTTGTGTTCTCACGAGGCATGGACCTATACTTCAAAAATAAGGTCGAAATTATCAGCATTCCATAAACCTCAAAAGGCCAACATTCATGAGTGATGCTTATGAGTTTGTGGTGATTCGTTAACAAATGTGAGCCCACAGCTCAAAGGGGTGTGTGTGTGTGTGTGTGTGTGTGTGTGTGTAAGTGTAAGATGCTTGTCGTGGCCTTTGACAAAGTCCAGAAGTCAGGAAGTTATGAACACAGCTGATGCATTTCTTCCCTTTTGCAATCACATGAAAACTGTTTTTAAGCAGTCCTAGAAATAATCTACGGCCATGCACAGCCTTAGGCGCCACGGCAGTGGGATTGGGTCCACATATTCGGGAAATCACAAATACCTGCCTCGGTCAGGAGGTCCCCCTCGAAGCTTTACCAGCGGGAGGAAGGAAACATGAGGCGTGCTTTGATCATGCTGCCAAAATGAGGGATTCATACAAGATGCTGCTGTCAACATAGTTTACTTCACGGCCAGCAGAGGCTCTTTGAAGAAGCAGGCTCAAAGCGGAGCATGTACTTACTTTATTTGCAAACAAAAATAAATCTTTTTGTACTCCCAGGTAGAAAATCGAACACAAGAAGCTCCTCCGGAAGGAACAGTAAAGGTGTTTGTGCAATCAGAGGGATCCCGGAAAGCCCACGTGAGGTGGGCAGCCCCTTTGCACCCGAATGGACGCTTGACGTACTCAGTCCTTTTCACTGGGATGTTCTACGCAGAGCAAG